GGTTTGCAAATTGAACAAAAGCTTATATGGCTTGAAGCAAGCTCCTCGACAGTGGTACGAGAAGTTTGAGTCTTTTATGACAAATCTTGGTTACCATAAAGCACAGTCTGATCATTGTGCCTTTATGAAGAAGTATGTCGAGGGTGATTTTATTATCCTCTTGCTTGATATGTTGATTGTAGAAAATAACACAAAAAGAATTGCTCTTCTGAAGAAGGCGTTGGGCAAGTCATTTGCCATGAAGGATTTGGGTCCAGCAAAACAATACTTGGCATGAGGATCTCCCGTGATAGAGCAAACAAGAAGATTTGGCTATCACAGGAAGAATATATTGAGAAGGTACTTGAAAGGTTTAATATGCAAAATGCAAAACCAGTTAACTTTCTACTTGCAGGACATCACAAATTGAGTAAGGATCATTGTCCTACAAGCAAAAAGGAGAAATAAGCAATGAAGAAAGTACCTTACCAATCTGTTGTGGGTAGTTTGATGTATGCCATGGTGTGCACTAGGCCTGATCTTGCCTATGCAGTTGGGGTTGTTAGCCAGTTCATGAGTAATCCAGGAGAAGCACATTGGGATGTAGTAAAGTGGATTCTCAGGTATCTCAGAGGTACTTCCAGAATGTGTTTATGTTTTGGAAATGATGATCCTATATTGCATGGCTATAAAGATGCAGATTATGCTGGAGACAGGGACTCCAGAAAGTCCACATCGGGATACCTGATGACATTTGCAGGGGGAGCAGTGTCATGGCAATCAAGGTTGCAGAAGTGCATTTCATTATCAACAACAGAGGCCGAGTACATTGCAGCGGTTGAAGCTTGCAAGGAAGTGTTATGGATGAAAAACTTCTTGCAAGAGTTGGGACATAAGCAAGAGAAGTACAATCTGTTTTGTGACAACCAAAGTGCCATTCATCTTGCCAAGAATTCAAGCTTTCATTCTTGAACCAAGCACATTGACGTGCGGTACCATTGGATTCAAGAAGTGGTGAGTTCCAAGTTGTTGCAGCTTGAGAAAATCCATACCGACCACAATGGTGCGGATATGATGACCAAAGTGCTACCGAAGGAGAAGCTGCAAGTATGCAATGAGGTAGCGGGCATGATGGTGCCCCCCTCATGAGTTGGAGGGGGAGATATGTTGGGAAATCCTCCTTATGAATGGGTGTTGAGGAGAGTAAATGCTCCTAGTGAGTAGGCCCACACATCATAGGTGCAGCACAGGAAATGGACCAACCTTGTGTGCATCTAGTGTTTTGCCTCTTGGCTTACAAGAGAAGGGAAGCTTCGTGAGTCTCAGTTCAGCGAGAGAGAGAACAAAGCAGCTCCAGTTCAACCCCTTGTGTTCCTTGCGTGTGAGAGAGGGAAGAAAACCGGAGAAAGAAAAGAGAGGGAGAAGAGCGAGATTAGAGAGGAGATCTTGCAATAGATCAAGAAGGGTTCGTCCTCAAGGTAGTGAAGCTTCAGATCCACATCCTTGGTGCCTCTAATCTGAGTTCCACTATCATTTGGTGAAGTCTTTCCACTCCCTAAGTAGCAGCCCCAAATCTTATTATTGTTATCCAAAATCTACGTATCTTGATGTATGATTGCATCTAGTGCTATCTAGAGATGAACTTATTGTAATCCCACAAGCAAATAGTGGAAGAAGATTTGGCTGGCTTGGTCCCGTGGTTTTTACCCTGATTTAGGGGTTTTCCACGTTAAATCTGGTGTCTTATTGTTGCTGCGAGTTTGGCTGCAACTAGCTGCGACTGCAGTTGCATGTGATTTGCCGCAACTAGTTGTGCTTGTTGCTAGTGTTGTGTTGTGATCCAGTTGCAACTGCGGTTGATGTGAACATAGCTGATTGGAACCAGTTGTGACTGCTGCTATTTTCTCCATATATATATGATGCATATGTTTCCTTCTGTGAGTAGGTGACGATCTAGGCTGATTTCGTATTGTGGTGAAATTAAACGCTTCTGCTGTCACTAGTAAGTGTGTAGTTTCTTGTGAGCCAAATGGACCAATAAATCATTGTTGCTTCTGTCAATCTATACTACCTAATATTTAAGAGTCAAAATTTGTGCCGTGTTTTGTTTTTCATCCATCTACCTTGCACTTGCTCTGATCCAAACCTACCCGTTGGCAATAAGGTTTGGTCTCGGTCACGCTATCACGTTTACTTCTCGGTTTGCCTCGTCCTAAAAAAAGAAACGGAGTCCGTCATGATCCACGTTTCCCTTGCGCGCTTGTCTGATTGCTAGCCGTAGTAGGCCCTTACGTGCGTTACTACCTGCTGATGGTGGCTCATTGGCAACTTCAGCACAATCGACGCACATGCACTGCATGCCGGTGAAGCTGTAACAAGACATCATAGCCTGAAAACCAGAGTGGCAGCTAGCTTGGGCAAGTCTGCTTGTGTTCAGCACTTCGACGCTTGCACCAACAAAGTGGGTCAGCATGTGTGTTTGACCAAGTACAAAGTGTAATATTGGCTCATCAATTATTTATTTGCACTTTGGAGCAAAAGTTCAGCATTTGCATGGCGACGCACGTATCTATACATAATCTTAAAGTAGCTACAGAGCATTTCTATTGCCCATCACTCTATATGCAATGCTTATATAAGTTAGAGCAACGTGTCCAAGTATGATATAGAATTGGATCCTCTATGACAAATATACGAGTTACATTAGTGTATCTAGGTATAGTGTGTAATCCGATCCTAAGATAACTAGGATACAAAACGTTCCCATGACCCACCAGTCTCTCTCAAACCCGTACAAACATGTATGAGTTACACCAGCGTATACAGGCATGGTGCAGAGTCCGATCATAAGACAAATTCGAATGCATAATGTGACCATTGAATAAATCTCCAATCTTCACGTGTCTATACAATTTAGAGTGGTGTGTGTCAAGGTGTGTTCGATTCAAAAAATGAACTAGAATGCATGACGATATTATTATTGAATAAATATCTAAGCCACAAGTCATCCTGGTAACCGCGTAACAAGCTATTTGTCCTTTTGCAATGTACGAACATGTTTGCTAATCTATACCTAATATTAAACAGCCAATTTTTTGCCAACAAATTTTCATCCAACCTAATCACCTGTGCCTTTTTTCATCCCAACTACCACTCGGTTTGGTTGCACATCGCCCGTTGCAATGCATGGACATATTTACTAATAAATACGCATATACCATTGCATTCCTCGACTAGAGTTGCCATGTGGAAATCAAGAGAGATCTTCGTCATAACCAATCACTAGTGGAGGGCAGTGGAGGCGAACCTAGGCTGTCGCCCCTACCCTAGCCCTCCACGCATACATTCATATCTTCTAGCTGTTGTGTAAGCTTTTCTCAAACTGAAAACCCAGAGTCAGAGAAGATGAATAGAATAGCCGGTTTGATGAGTGCCAACAGCCATCGCCGCTGCAGCAAATGGCAGACATTTACAGACAAGTAGAATCAACTACTGATTGCACCACCACCACCACCCCTCCCTTCATTTGGCTGCACGATCTGCCGCTGAGACCAATCTTTAACACGACGGCAACTAACTTTTTGCGACTTTAAACAGAGATTAGAATTACATATTTTTGTGGATCCTCGAAGGAACTCACAGGACTCGGTAATTAACTTACAAACATATGGATCGTATGAAAATTAAAGTTATGATATATTTATGAGTAAATATTTCTATGCCTTACAATAGGAGAAAAACTATAAAGATTGTATTTTAATTTGAAACATAGTCATATTATTACCAATATTAACTTATACTAGGGATGTCATGGTTATCATAAAATAAATTATAGTTTAAAATTTTATTAAAAAAATATAAATAGATAGATATATAACACTCTGTTTTCTGTTAATATATTTTTTTATCCTGTTGTAATATACGGGCAGACACGTTTACTAGTAAAAATAATCTAAAACTGTCTCTTCTATGATACCTGTTATCAAATAAGATTTGGACATCAGAGGTGGTTTAAGTCCTAACACCATATGAACAGCCCACACATTTAGAAAAACTTAATTACGGAATGTAAAACGCAATACAAAATGCTGAGATGTGAAGGGGGGAGAGACGAGAGAGCTTGCTGACCTTTTTTGCGAATGAGATTGCTGACTATCGGGCACACGCCAGGAATAAATGGAAATTTTTGGATATTTGTAGCGATCCTGATTAGTTATCGTGCCGTAAAATTGTAATGTTTTCTTTTTTCTTATGTGTGTTTATTTACATATCTGGGCCAAATAAGAATCGCCAGGGTTCAGGGTTCATATATTCCAGGTCTGGTTTCCTCAATAGATATAGAAATATATTCCAGCTCGATCTGTTGACAATTCAACGTTGGCTGCAGAGGTAACCAAAGGGATCACGGTGTCATATTCAGAAATATACGACAGGTACACTTTCGTGGCTGCAAAGGTCACCAAAGGGATCACGGTGTCCTATTCAGAAACATACGACAGGTATACGGTGGTACAAGCCGTCCAACTGGATGCTAACAGAGAAAACGCGAATCACATGCTACGACGGGTCACACACTCACCATGATGTGGGATGCAAACATACAGATACAGGCACTGTTCTTTTTGGTTCTTGGCATTTGGATTCCAGACTACTTTAACCAGTAGTACCATCGTTGCTAAATGCTAATGAATACAGGTAATTTTTTGGTTCTTCAAGAACCAGAAGAGGCGTACTTCAGACATTGAGCGTTTCGCAGAAGATGGTTCCCAATCAGATTTCCTAGCGCTACCCTGTGAATTGATCTATGGCTAGCATCACATCGTCCACTTCTGTTTCTGGGATTCTATTCACAATTTGAGCCATGAATCAAAGACCAAACTGGTTCCAGTTCGTACATTGGAGACCGCGTGCCAGGAAACCCAAACTCTGTTTAACCAACCCAGCATCTGCCGCTTTTGTCAGTCAAGCACCAGAACCAGCCCAGTGTGGAGCGATTCGTGTGATATGAACCTTGGTCGATGCTAATTCGGCGGTAGTCCAGATCCTCCAGCCAAGCGCCTCCTGAGCCGGCCCCGCGTCAGCTGGATCGCCTCCTCGATGAGCGTCTCCACAGGTGGTAGTGGTGGCGGTGCGCCGCTCACTGACGGACGGGGTGGGTCGACTTGCATGGCTTCAGTGTCCTGAGGACCTTTGGTAGCAGCGGCTTCAGGAGCAGGTGCTGGCTGTGGCTGGGCAGGAGGCACTGCACCAGGAGGGGCCACTGGAACTGGGGGCCTTGGTGGAGTGGGAGGAACTTGAGCTTGGGCAGGCTGTGGTGGCATCGGAGGCGCGGATGGTGCGGGAACAGGTGGAGGTGCAGGGTTCACTTGCCGAGTCCGTGGCGGTGGTGGGCGCTGCTGCTGTTGCTGTGCCTGCAGAAAGGAAGAGGCAGTGAAGACAAATCAGTATGCTGCGCAAATATCACAGTCCAGTAAAGACACCAACAATCATAACCACATGCTTTAACATCAGCTGACAGTCAGCGGCAACAATCATGAAAGGAACATGATTTGTCAATAGAATGAACAGAAAATCACATGGTGAAATTCTAAAACAGATATCAGTCATATCACAATGCAATTGAGATAATATGTGCCTCTCAAGTCACTGACCCCAGTGCATGGTAAAAACATCACTATTATTCACAATATTTCATAATATTCATAATTAACGATCTAAACTATGCATGAAATAAGTAGTAGAGGTCTACTAGAAGCACGATAATACAGACAAAAGCATGAATTGGTCGTTCATTTTTATCTACATTAAAGAAGATTCACAACCTACCACTACAGGCTGAAAAAATTGACTCATGGTATTCAGTCAAAAATTACTCATGGTATTCGGTCAAAAACTACTCATGGTACATCGATCATACAACCAACTCAGAATTAATCAAGCAAAAAACAATATAACAGAAAAAACAGAAGATATAAAAGAACTTCCCATGACAGGATTAATTATAATCAAGGAAAAAATGCTAGCTGACATGTCACCTCACAACCTTAATGAATATGACTCCACTTGTTTAGCCTATACCTCTTGATCATATCTGCTCTAATCTCAAAAAATTTCCATCACCTCATGCTAGAACTACAGAAGCGCTGAACCCCATAAAGAATTGGCTGTCTGACAGACTTGATTCAGCAGCATTTAATTTCATTTTGGTTCTTTGAAAAGCCCATAAAGAATTGGCTATCTGTCAGACTTGATTCAGCAGAATTTTATTTCATTTTGGTTCTCTGAAAAGCCCATAAAGAATTGCTATCTGACAGACTTGATTCAGCAGCATTTTATTTCATTTTGGTTCTTTCAAAAGCCCATTTTCTGGACATGCTAAGCCTGATAGCATGAAGGCTCCTAAATAACCTCACAGCAATAGTTCTTTTCTTGAGGAAAGAACAATATGGCTGTCTGCTATCCTCTTCTTAAAGTTTGCAGAATGCAATCCAAATATCCAATAACCCATTGGACTTATCAGGATGCCCATGCAACCAAAAACACGCAGCAATATGGCTGCCAGAGAGACCTCATGCTGAAGAAATTGAGTAAAGCAGACTACAGGATAGGACAAATGATCCTGGTGCACATTTTTCAGGCCCCGTTTGGAACGAAGGAAAAACGGAGGAAAAGTGAAGGATTGAGTTCCGGAGGAAAGGATTGTCTGCGCGCGTTTGGAACGAAGGAAGCGGCACGAACCTTTCCAAAGGAACGGCAACGAAGCTTGTACTTTTGGAGGAAAGAAAAAATGAGGTCAGATCCAAGGGAAAATTTCCTACGGTGCTTGCGCTCACGCTGTGTTATGGATTCCTGCGTTTTTCCTGTGTTATGGATTCCTGCGTTCCAAACACCCCTTCTAGTTATTTCCCGCGTTTTTCCTTTCCTCTATTTTACCACTACACACTCACCCCATTCCTGTGTTTTTTCCTATTCCCGTGTTTTTGATTCCTGCGTTCCAAACAGGCCCTCAGAATAGGGGGTACAACAGTATGGAAACTTAACGGAACTACAGAACCACAGTTTTTTCTAAAATGTGCTAGGTACTAGACAAGCGACTATGCCATATAGGCTAGCACTTAATAATTGCCTAGACGGGCTGGGCAGCTGCAGCAATTAGACACAAGATGGGAGACGGCGCAACATCACAGGCAAATGATACCATAAACCATACCAAATGCCATCATCCACAACAGAAACTGTTAATAGATCAGTGGCCAATAACTCAAAAAATTTAGCCACTTTGATTGCATAAAGTTTTAGCCTAGTCCATGTTCGAGAGAAAAATAGTCTAGTCAGTGAAATTAATGATAATATTGGCTATATTAACATTAGGAGAATGAAAACAACTAAATCAATCTTAGGCTCATAGATAATAGCACATAAGTTCTTAGCACAAGAGGAAAATCCGCATTGAGATATGCCATGCAGGGGCGGATCCGGGGGGGCTAGTGAGCCTGATTTCTTCATTAGACCACAGTTACTTAGCCTCAAATCACCATTAATCTCTAGTCCTAGCCCTAAATCTTCATTATTTAGCCCCCCCTTTGTTCCCATCCTGCATCCGCCACTGTATGCATGTGTCAAAACTTTCAATAGTACATGATCAGCTAACTTTGCAACACGTGTTTACCCAAAAAGTAGTGATTAGTGAACTAAGTACGCACTAATTAGCATTGGTTCCAAAAATCAGTTGAGCATGGATGAAATAGGAAATCTCATGGTTGACACATGTGGAGAAATTTCTGGGAAAAAGGTTTGCATGATGATTGGCAAGTATAGAATCTGTCAATTTGCTGGAATGTCAATTTTAGTGCTTTCAAAACATCAGCGTGTTCAAATTCTGAATAAAGCAATTATCATTGAATATGTGGAAACACCATCTAGCAGAGAGAGAGAGGTGCTGCAGCATCATGCCTCTCCTGTATTCTGCATCAGCAATTAGATGTGCCAGCATCCCAAAAACATAACTGGAGCGGGTTGTAAAAACAAAAACTTGTGGTGATGAATACAGGTGGCTTTTTATAAATTCAATATATGAGAATGGTTAGTCCAGGTGACATAGTGAAACAAACATCTGAGCACAAGCTCAAGGAAACCTAACACTACTATATTTATGGAAATACTTAGTTTCAGACATTAATTATGCAGCATGAATTTCATATGTCCACTTGCTAAAACAGCTGTAATAGCAGAAAGAAATGGCATGCAAGGAAGCAATACCTGAGGGCGAGATCTTTGAGTCTGTGACTGTGAGGCAATATACTGCAAAATTTCATCGGACCTTGTCTGAGCATAGTTTACAACCCTCTGGAAGTAAAGAACTGCCATGTCACCAGCTCTTGTCCTCAACTCAAGCAGATTTCGATCAATCTCAGTTTCATGTTTTGCAATGTATGGCTTGAAGAATGACTCATATACATAGGCAGTCCCCTGAAATAACCCGTTGTTACAAACAAACCACGAGAGAAGTATATAAGCTAAGAAATTAAAGAAAACAGAATACTATACCCGTGTCTTTGGATACCACAAGTACACGATAAATGCCAGCTTTGCTTCACTGTACATTGGCAACCTGTGTAAGAACAGAACAATCAGCAACAAGGTAAATCACTATCCCCAATTCCAACCACCAAAGGTTACTAAAAATAGCAACTCCAAAAGTAGCATGGGACGGCATTACCATGACACGAAACTTTCCCCAACTCTCTCCAGTACGGTGAGAAACGCGAGTAAAATCCTGCAAAAGCCACGACCCTACAACATGAAGCGAACCGCATATGCAAAGTCTGCATCAAAACGGAAGGGGCGCCCTTACGAACCAGTACTGACACCAGAACCGCAGCTGCTCGACCTCAGGCCTGTTCAGCTCCACCGTCTTGTAGCAGTCGTAGGCTGGGTACGCGTATCCGAGAACAAGCCTGCAAGACAGGAAAACACAGATCAAACAGATGACAGGTATGATGACCTAACAGCAATGCTCCGTAGCAAAGAACGGAAAAGAAAAGAAACGGTCGGTGTCGTTACTTACGTTAGCACTCCGGTAATGAATGAACCAATCATCTTGAGCCCTGCACCGCATTAAACGTCCGTTACACAAACAGAGAAAAATAGCAGCAGTGAACAAGGATAGCAGAGATAATGCCATTTCGAATCACAAAATCCCCCCAGATAAACTGAATGCAGCCAATACACTAGCAACCGACACTCCATATTAAGCCTCTACCCACTCAGCACTGCGAGCACCGTGCCTGTCGTGTTTGGATTGGTGCCCAGGCAGAGTTGCCGCACCAGGCAGCGATCTCAGGTGTCGGATTTCCAACGCCTGTGGACAGGATTTGCTGCCTGGGCAAGACCTCCAGGCCAGGGTGTCACCCAAACAGCCCTCAAAATCAAACCATCAGGCAATCATGTGTCACCCAAACAGCCCTCAAAACAAACCATCCATACATACTTTAGAGATGTCCTTCAGCAGGTACAGACGGATTCATCGCAACAGTAGCGACAAAGGGCAGGTACAGAGGATTTCGGCGAGGTGGGGCATGGTGGGAACCCAGCAGTAAACACGAATCCCAATCCCTCGCAGTAGCGCTGGCCGCGGCTAGCCTAGAGGCAGGGTAGAACCGTCGAAGACCATCCAGTTGCGTTTGCGTCCCATCCTATCCTATCTACCGGGTCAACCGAACCGATCTCGCGCGCGCTGAAACAGCAGCCGCCGACGGCCGCAGTGGAAGACGACGGGCAGCAAGGACGCACGGACGGATAGATGGGCTAGATTAGCTTAGCGGCGTACCAGCGAAGAGGAGAAATCCGCGCGACCGGAGGAGGACGCATTCGAATTGGTTGCCCGCATTCGCAGCAACTGAAACTCGTTTATAATAAGCAGCTAGAGGAGGGAGGAGGAGAAGGGAATCCGTCCGAGCAACCAGTAGTAGCAGGGTAGGGTTCCTTACCGGGAGACGAAGGAACCGACGCGCCGGCGGCGCGGGGGTTCGGATAGGGGTGGGGTGGAATGGAACCCCCCGCGCTCCACGGCAACCCAGGAGCGGAGCGGAGCGGACGAGGAAGAGGGGGCGTGCGTGCTCGGGAAGGAAGCGGGCCGAGAGACCAAGCCGACGCGGGGAGGGGAAGCATCTCTGTCCGCTGTTGCCTTGCCTTGCTTCGGGTTGCAAAGGCGCCGGTCCACGTCGGACGGAGCAACGGCTGGATCGTCGTTGGGCTGGGCCGCCACAAATCTCGACGTGGCCGCGGGCCGAGAGGCACGATGAGCCTGGAAGGCGTCGAGTGGAGTGATGATGCCCGGCCTGGGCTTGGTCCGGGGCGAGAAAACTAGGCCCAGAGGTCGAAGAAAACGCTGGAAGATCATTTCCGATTTTCCCCTCAAAAAAAAAAGATCATTTCCGATTTTATATAAAAAAAGCAATATCCCTTCCCTTCCCTCCCCTAAAAAAAAGCAATTGCCCCCATATTTTTTTACTTTTATTAGGTGTCCCTATTTTTTGCGCTTAACTATAGCTCAACAATCATAGGGAACATAACAAACCAAAAACGAAGGCGGCTTGTTATTTGTTAGAGATTGCGGCAATATAGATCTTGGCAAAGAATTGGTGGCGGTCTTCTAAGAGACTTAGTGCTTAGTACATCAGTGAGTTTGGTTTCATCTCAATTCTCGAACCCTTATTTAGTTTTTGTGAGTCTTTAATCACATGAAGGTTGGGTATGTAATAATGAATTGTCGGGTGCAATAGTCTGTTAGAGGACAAAACAATATTTTCTTTTTCTCTTTTTCTGATTAACTATAGCGCTAGCTTCAAAAAAGGAACTCTACTTTTCTTATATGCATATGGCCCGCCGATCATTGATATAATTTTTTTATTCTTTTATCTTCCCCTTCCACATCACTCTATTGATGTGTTTGGTTGCCTAGGCTATCCTAGCTTGGCTAATTTTCTAAGCCATGGCAGTCAAAGTCTAGCTAGTGCTATACAAGATACACTTTGTTTGATTGCATGGATTGTGTAAGCCTGTATTAGAATTAGTGTGTTTGGTGTCTGGTTTGGCATACATAGAATCAACTCATCTTTGACATGGTAAGTTTACCCCTATCACACATTCTATCGAACACTCGGTGAGCATCATCTGTAGCGCATGTCAAGCTTGTGTCAATGGCCGGTGGGGGTAGAGCTACGCCTTGCGACCGGTGCTATGGGGTTGGATCCATGGCCCATGACTGTAGAAGCGCACCACGGAGGCGCCCCTGAACCTCAAGCTCCTCGTCGTCCCTACGTGATTTTGCGGGTGGTGGAGGCGCAGTGGTGGTGGAGCCGTGAAGGGAGGAGGCCATGGGAGCACGCACAAGGGCCAAGCGGAGCTCGTGCGGGGTCGGCCAATCCCGCACGATATGGCTACGGTGCTCGTGTGGTGGCCGACAGCGGCTCGCGGGGAGGCCGGCGGCTGGTAGTGCTCGCGTCAAGGAAGTCGCCCGGTGGTCCTCGCGGAGGAGAGATGGACAAGGAGGTGAGAGATGACCTGCGAGCGCTAGCCAAGCCTGGCTTCATGAAAATGGTCGCCCACCGTGTTCTTGCTAAGCCTAGATAGGAGGGTGTTAGTGCACTACCAGAGCCTGGCGACGAGCTTTAACTAGGCTACCAAATACTTTTAAATTGCATTGCGGGAGCCTAGATAGGGATAGCCTAGGCAACCAAACACTCCTTATTATGTCTCTCTCCCTCACCCTGATCCCGACCACCTCCCAGGCATCACCTCCCAAGCTCTATCACCACTACCTCCTCTTCATCCCTCCCCCCCTTTTCCAACCATGACCGCAAGTGTGACCTCCATGGTCGCTCCTCCTCGCTCGCCGCACCATCGCTCGCTCCCTTCTTCGATCAAGCTCTAGTAGGATGTAGTCGAGGGAGAGAGAGGTCATGCTCGAGCGAGGATGACGTTGTGGTGGGGTGACAGGAGGACGAAGCTTGGGCAAGAAGCCCAAGGCCTAAAATTTGGTAGATCTAGGGCCGGTGGTGTGGAGGGAGCTCGAGTGGGACAATGTGATCGGGTCCAAGACGTGCACAGGGAGGTAAACTACTAAAACTAAAAATTTGTGACGCTGAAGAGAGCCCACAATATCTCTAACACTCATAAGTAGGATGGGATATGAGCAGGTGCCATATTAAAGATGTTGGAATGTATATTTAGGCCTTGTTTGGCTGGCTTATTTGCAAATGGCTTCACCTAAGTGTTAATCATATAGGATCATTAGGAGCATAGATCTAGCCGGTAGAATGGTTCTATTCGGGATAAAAGATGTAGTGCATCCTAGTACATGTAGAACTAGAGAGACAGAGAGGGAAGGGAGAGAGGTGAGATGTCATCGGTCATCGGAGGGTTTGGCGGTGGGGCTGGAGCCGTCCATAGTGATGTCGGTGATGCTGTGAAGTCCGAAATGGAGAAGGCGGTGGTGCTGAGGTGGTGCTATCTCGGCGACGACGAGGCAGTGGGTCTTCCCGTCGCTAGCAGCACCGCTCCCTCTAGATCGAGTTAGGGTTTCTCTGTAGGCGGGTTGCGGCGGCTCAGGTCAACCTCGTACCTTATGCCCCAGCCCCCACCTCCCTTTTATGGTGCTGTGCGACGGGGGGCCACCAACCATGGAGCGGTTGGACGCCCCCGATCAGGGCGCGGATCCAAGGGCCCAATTGGTCATGGGTCAATTGGTTGAGATCAAACTAACATTCTCCCCCTTGATCTCACCTTATTTCTTAAATTTAACTTACTTACTTTATCTTGTTCCCATTCCATCACATATTAGTGCATAGAGCGTGCCTCATCATCACGGTCTGTTGCCATTAGATTAAATAGTTACAACGCACCTCTCTGTTTTAAAACATATACTCAACTAGGCCCTTAGTATCCAGAAATCATAGGCTTTCCCATAAACCCATGTCGACTATGTGTTCTCTGAATGCACTGGGTGATTGGCCTTTGGTAAGCGGATCCGCAAGTACTTACTCGGTACTTATGTGCTCAATGCTTTCAAAATGATTCTAGATTTTTCTCCTTTACAACATATAACTTAGTGTCAATGTGTTTGGCAGCACACTTGACCTGTTGTCTTAGGAGTTAACTTACTTTAAATGGTTATTGCTGTTGTCTACTATTGTTAAATCCGGGTACAAATTTCCTTAACCTCCTTTTGCCTATTCCTTAAGCCTCATGTCAAGCTATACTGTGGTATGCATCACTGATGACACCACAACTGTTTCTTTGGAGCTTTTCCACAATAATACTCCAACTACGAGTGTTAGCAACTGCTGTGGATTTCACTACACATCTCGCAAAGACTTAACTTTTGTACCCTCAACTATTTGAGAGTACTTGTTCTTTCTTACTCAGCATGAGGCCTATGATACTTTGCATAATTGCAAGACATTCTTAACTCCATTCCAGTGATTTATATCTGGACTGGACTTCTGCCAAAATATTCCGGATACATAAACTACGTCAGGGTAAGTTATTACTTGTACTTGTACACTCATCATGCTTCCAACAGCTAAAGCATATGAAATCATGTTCATTTGATCGATCTCATATCAGTTCCTGGAACACTGAAAGTTCCCTTATCTATTACCCTTGACTATAGGAGCAGGCGTAGGTTTACTCGCATGCATACTTTACTTCTTTAGAATCTTTTTCTAAGTATGTCTTTGCGATAGTCCTAATACCTTATTTTCTTCTATATCGGTGAATTTCAATTCCTAGAACCAATGACGCTTCACCAAGATCATTCACATTGAAACTTGAGGACAAAACTTTTTCTTCTTCAATGACAGATTAACATCACTACTAGTGAGTAGAATGTCATCTTCACAGGATTTGGAAAATAAATTTTTCATTCTTGAACTTCGCATAAACGTTATTGTCCTTCTCATTTTCTTTAAAACCCAAACTCTCTCATTGTTTTTATCAACTTCAAATACTATTATCTAGAGACTTACATTTAATCCATAAATGGATTTCTATAGGAGGCATCCATATGTTCTTTTCTTCCATGACAAAACCTTTTGGGTTGTGCTATGTAATCGTTTTCATATAAATCCCCGTTGAGGAATGCCGTCTTTACATCCATCTGATGTAACTCTAAATCATAATGAGTCGTTAACACCATTATGATTCTAAAAGAATTCTTACATAAGACTGGAGAGAAAACTCTCATTGTAATCTATTCATTCTCTTTGCTTAAAGCATATTGCCACTAGTCGTGCTTTATATCTTTCTACATTCCCTTTGGAGTCACATTTTGTCTTGTAGACCCATTAACACCCTACTGTTTTGGTTCTATTAGGAATTACTTCTAAGTCCCAAACATTATTGGTACTCATCGAATTCATTTCAACTTTATATCTTTCTACATTCCCTTTAGAGTCACATTTTGTCTCATAGACTCATTAACAACCTACTGTTTTGGCTCTATTGAGAATTACTTCTAAGTCCCAAACATCGTTGGTATTCACCTAATTCATTTCAACTTCCATAACTTCTTGCCATTTAAACGAGTAAACGCTTCTCGTGACTTCTTTAAATGAGGTGGAATCACCCTCCATTTGAATTTCTTTACGGCTTCATAGTCATTGGAAAAACTGGTTTACTAATTCTTTAAGGCCTTCTAGGGCCTCATCTACTGGCACTTTCATATGGGGTTGTTGTTGCTCTTTATTGCCAAAAGGTAATTGATTCTACAGGCTCCTGTATGACAAGATTCTTGTTTACATTATTCATCTTCTTCGAAAAGCTAACAATAGGTGTTGTATGAGTCATACAACATCAACAGGTATTGAGAGATTCGTTGTTTTTGAATCACTGAAGTGGGCATGTAGTCCCGCTTCTTTTCAAGTCTTAGGTCTCTTCATACCTCTACATACCATGCTCTCCTAGATCTTTCCATCTTTTCTAAAGATAGTGTATCTTCAAATATCTTATTTTGGATTTAATCCGTTAAACTCTCATATGGCGCTTTTTAAGCACCACCTTAACATCTTTGAGGTCGACTACGCTATTTTTCCGTCGAGAACTTTAAAAGGTCTAGGAATTTAGCTATTTCTACGCTTAGGGGTATCATTGTTGTAACCGTTGTACTC